GAATTGCTCGCTGGATCAGTGAAGTTCAGCAGTTTGACATTAAAGTCGCCACAAAAGTTGGCATCAGATGCTGATGTACTTTTTCGGCTTCCAGCAATTAGTGGCTTTGGGAAAGAGAAAAATGTGAACTTACTCAAAATCTGGGAAGGTACAGAGCAATTGATTCCCATAGGAGAAAAGTGCCAGGTTTCAGATACATTGATTCGAAAAATTCTTGAGCTGTACCATGGCAGCCCACATTCAGGAGCACACGACGGGTCTTCACGAACCTATTAAAAATTGAGAAGGCAACTTAATGGCCAGGAACGAAGAAGGATGTTGCTGCAAGTGGGCCGTTTGAGACTGTTTAAGTTGACTTCGCTGAGCTAAAGAAAAAAAAGCAAAGGCATGAGGAAAACTCAGTTTTTCTCAGTGTGCATTGATGAATGCTCAAGGATTGTTGCGGCCAAGCCAGGAAGCGAGAATGTCCAAACCGTCGTAGCACTGCTGTACAGACATGTTTAAGGGGAGAAGCGGGTGAGACCGAAAATCGCGAAAAAAATTGATTTTTTTGAAAATGCTATATTTGGATTCTCCCACTATCCCTGCATAATCTCGCCAATTTTCAGGCGTCCTAGATTGGTAATTTAGCCATGAGAGTAGTTTCTGCGACGTTAGTGAGCTGAATTTTTGGCGACAGACGCGTGAAAAATGGGCTTTTTCAGCGCCGCGGTGCTGCCGTTCTACGCTTGGTACAGCAGTCGTCTTCGTCGCATTCGAAAAAGCCGCCCTTTTTGTTTCATATCCCGCCGCGCTTGTTTACGTCCACTCAATATGCACGCTGTGAATCTACGTAAAAAAAAAAATTCTCCCTCGCGTGAGCCTCCTGGTTCGGTGAGCACACGTGACTAAATTGCGCCTTCCGATAGTTATAGCACGAGAACATAACAACGACACAGAGACAAGAAGGACACGAAAGGTACGAGCGCCTTCCGATTCGCCGGGCTTCCCGAGCTGTCTGCTGCGTGCGGCAGCAGAGCGCACGTGAAGCGGCGAGTGTATGTCACTTTGATCTTGTTGGCTTCCTGAACTCGCGTGAGCTAGCGGGAAATTAGAACAAGCATCTCTGTAGAGTCTCTACGTTCGACGGTATACTGGTACGGCGCGGAACGAGCTCGACGAAGCCCGCCGTATCCGCCGGGACAGTGCGGTAGGCCTACGCTCTCGACCGCGGTTTCCCGAGCTGCCTGCTGCGTGCGGCAGTAGAGCGCACGTGAAGCGGCGAGTGTATGTCACTTTGATCTTGTTGGCTTTCTGAACTCGCGTGAGCTAGCGGGAAATTAGAGCAAGCATCTCTTTAGAGTCCCTACGTTCGACAGCATACTGGTACGGCGCGGAACGAGCTCGACGAAGCCCGCCGCAGCCGGCGGGACAGTGCGGTAGGCCTACGCTCTCGACTGCATTTTCCCGAGCTGTCTGCTGCGTGCGGCAGTAGAGCGCACGTGAAGCCGCGAGTGTATCTCGCTTACACGTCATTGTTCTCGTCGGCTTCCTGAACCCGCGCGAGTTAGCGAGAAATTGGAGCAAGCGTTTCTCAAGTCTGCACATTCAGGCACGCCGCCGAACCAGCCCGACAAAGCGCACCGCAGTAACCGGGCCTGTGCCTTAGGCCTACGCTTTCGGCCATGTTTTGAACCTGGCTTGAACCTTTTATCATGCCGAAGCCATATCGCAAGTTCCGCACGGCTCACAAGTTTGGAAAAAAGCGCAAGAAATCTATGGCAAAAAAGAAATAATGGCACGGGTATATTCGACGTGCACCTTGTACAGGACAGCGCGGCGATGGAACACAATCTGTTGGATGAAACGCCGACATCTCCACTTGTTTCCTCGGACGACGTCTGCGATAGGCAGCGCATAAGGAAAGACACAACCTTTTTGACGAGCGCCGATTGTGCGCAACAGCAGAAAGTGAATGCTGATAAGATCAGCAGCTTATCGGCAACTTCGGCGAGTGTGCGCAAGCTGCGAACGCTCGCGACAGCGCGCGAGGACTCGTACTCGGCGGCGGCTACCTATGGGATCTCCGACTTATCTGCGATAAACAACGTTCTTGAAAGAACGGATAAATGCTGGACATGCAGTGGGACCATTTCTGCATGCAGTGGAACTTCAGCTAGAGCAAAACTCCGTGAGCGAGCGACGAGCAGAAGAGAAGGATTTTCATCGGATCATGAGTACCAAGCGAAAGCGTTCAGCATCTTCCAGGTTCCTGCAACAACCAAAGCGCCGGCAACGACAAAAGTGTGACAAAGACTACTGCCCTGGTGCTTTCTGAGGCATTTATATGCAAAGAGAAGCATTTTTCTTTGTGTAGAACTCCTTGAATATACAGAGCTTTGTTTTTTTGCCATTTTCTCAGTTTCAGTTTTTTGGCCACCTTTCATTCTTTTGACAAGCGCTTCTCAGCTTTGGTACACTGGAATTTGATACTTTTTTTCTTGGTGGGAAGCTGGATGCTTAGTGAGTGCAAGAAAGTGCCATATGCAACCATTTGAGACCAGAAATTTTTAGAAAAAAATAAAGTACAAAATTTATCTTTCCTTAATAATTGAAGGACAAACTTCTAAGCTTCATAATTTTTGTATAAAAGCTAGAGCTATGAAACTTGCATTTCGCACTCTTTGCTAATTGTATAATGCAATGACATTTAATTCAGCAAGATCAGTACAGCCAATATACTGATAAGGTGATCAAAAGAATGTTTAATTAAAGGCTAGTTAAAAACAAAATGGTAAGAGGTACTTAAAAACTGAGTTCGTTTTTGACATCTGCACTTGTAAATAGACTATCTCATAAGTTTTCATCACCCTAGCTTAAATATTAAGATGCCTGATGGCTAAGTGCCTTTTCCCCCCTTAAAGGACTGGAATGCATTGTGTCTGACAATGGGTTGACGTACAGGAGCCAGGAACTTGCAGTGGGTAGAAGAAAAGAACATCACTCTGAACTTTACAGTCCCATACCATCCATCAGCCACTGGGCTCGCAGAATGGGTCATAGGACACATAAGCATCTACGATTCCCAGGGTGGTGAAAATGTTGCCTGCAAGCAGCAGTGTCGCATCACAAAAGATCCCATACAAGTGCTTTGTGATGCAGTCCTCAATATGCTGCCTTCGGTGAACTGGTGTATCTGCCTGCAGACAACACATTGAGAATCAAGACCAAGAAGACTGCAGAAAGCCCAGGAAAACACAGGGAGTCGCTTTAACTAACTTGACAGGCGTCATAACAACAAGATCCCCAATAATACTCTAGGTTACCATACAGGAAGTCTATGGCAGTCATAGTGCAAAATTGTTACGAGCATTTAGGGTGGCTAAAACAGCTACAAAGGACGAAACACTAAAGACCATCGGCTACATAACGGAAGATGGTGTCATGAAAATGAATTTTCTTTATTCGGCGGAGGGACAAAGCAAAGCCAGGCAGAGTATAGTGACCCAAAGACAACGAAGAACTGTTTTGACGGGGAACTGGGGAGGGAGAAAGAGAGAGAGAGAAAAAGAAGGAGAAAATCTTCTGTCTTTGTCAGTGTTGAATGTTATATCTCTGACGGATAACTCAGCTAATCCTGCAACAGTAAGATGAAGTTTAAGCTTAAAAAAAAAGAAATAAAACTTACCCCAAGCCCTGGGCGGCTGTGCATTGTACTATGCTGAGCTCCCAGTGGAGGTATTTTGCCAACCACCACCTTGCACATGTGCTGGCGATGTCACGCTGTGACATACCCAAGGAGAGGTCTATGGAACAGCAAATGGAGCACAGTGGCAAAGCACTGCGAGCGGTTTGACTACCATACCAGTCCTGACATGGGGGTGATCTGGCATAAAGGTAGGAACCTTCACCGGCGGGTCCTCCTCAAATTCTGGCACATTCAGCAGGCAGCAGGAAACATCAACGTGCCACGGGAACACTGCCCTTTCTCTACTGCCAGGGCTTGCGATGGGTCACAGCAAAGTGCCTTCTCACCCCTGAAGAAAAAGCCGATGAGGCTTCGAAACGTCTGGTTTATAATTAAATTTTGGTTGGAAGTTTCTTTTTTCTCCAGTTTTCTGACCACAACCAGGCAGGCTTCCGCCGAAGGTTCACCTTTGAATGAATGTAAATATTTGTGTTGCAACCCCAAACCTAGTGTGTTGAATTAGTTGCTTTGTTTTGTACTTTCCCTGCATTCCTTGGTGTGTACAAAGAGCATGAAAGCTTAGGCATGAGAAACTTGATCCTGGTGAATGCCCGTGCTATCAAGCTTTTTGCTGTATGGAGTGGGTAAACACAATGATGGGTGAAGTACCACTATGTGGGCTTTTGTGCATCAAAGCTTACTATGGATAGAAGGGTGTCTGAATAGGGAAGAAAAAAAATACAATACAAAGACTTTGGTGTTTCTATGTTGTATTGGTACGGACGGAACTGTAGTTGTGCTGGAAAATTTTGGCAGCAATATTTCCTGAAGAGACGTAAGAATTCATAGAGGTGATTAAAGCTCCTCAAATTGTCAAAATGTACAACAGAATATTTGAACATTACAGCTTGGAAGAAATTTGTTTTTGCCAGTGATGTAGCATCGCATATGGATCAAACAGCAAGCAGGCTCACTCGCACTCAAACTCACAGAAATATTACTCAGCTGGACTCATTCAGATGCAGACTCACGAATATTTTTGTGAAACTTGCTCGGACTCAGACTCATCAAAATTTTTCTCAAGCGGACCACTCGGACACAGACTCACTTAAATATAACTCAGCCACACTCATTCAGACTCACACTCGCGCCTCAATCCAAGTCTGAGTTAGCTGACTCATGAGTGAGTTTGCCCACCTATGGTTGTGAGTCTGCGCTGTCACATTATTGCACGTCTTAATCATTGGGGGCTTTTTTTTTATTGTGATGGATCCACATTAACTTGGCCAGCTCCGATCGAGCAGCTGTAATGTGTGTTGTTTTCTCGGTCCAGGGTCGGGAACAGTGGCAACTTCGCCCAAAGCTGCCGATCCAACCGTAGCTACGACCCTGGTTGAGCCAACGAAGAAAGCGATTGCCATGCTGCCCTCAAAGAAGACAACCGTGGGTCGTTGTGCTGGCACGAATTTACCCGTACACAAGGACATAGTAGATGGCGTGGCTGTCTATAGCTTCCAAGTGAGTGACGTTTGTCGTGGGGTGTTACTAAACTCTTGAAGGCTGTGTCATCCCATTTTAAAAGTCACAGCTGGAGTAGTGTTTTGTAAGTTCTGACAGCCAGCGGGCGCAGCTAACTTGTAGTGTCTAAAGTCACTGAAACGAAAAAAGTATCGCATTCGTTTTCTCTTTGCCGCTGCACGCTCTTGGCAACTTCGCTACATTCAGTTGCCGACCGTGTAGTTAACTCAATGGGAACCGCCGAAAAGTCAGAATAAGAAAGAATGAAATAGTCTGAAAAAACAAGAAAAGAAAAAGCACTTTTACTGGCCCGAAGGCCAGAAAAACCTGTCTGTGCACATCTGCACGCAAGCACTATCACAGACAACCATGTCGGCGGCCTGTATTTCACTTATTCCTTGGCCATAACTGTAGGTTGTAGTGCTTTTAGGCCTGCGCCAAGTCTGCATTTAATAACTGGGGGCTGCACTTCGTCGGAGTCACTGTTCACCTGCACTGGTTCAGGGACCTGACACCCGATCTCATCATTGCCCAACTGGGTGAAAACTTCCAAGAAACATCAGGTTGTGGTCAGCTGCCTTTGATCTGGTGAATAATTGTGTTTTCTTTTTTCGTCATGGTCAGTGTCTTGTAGTTGCCGCGTTTCCTTAATAGTACCAACGGTGCAGATTGAATGGGTGGCATTCAAGCCATTTCAGTAGGTCAGGCCTCGCACAGCAAGCAGCATGTCAAGCAACAAACAAAAGAGTGAGACGCAGATCAGGCCTAGCCACAGAAACAATTGACAAACTCTCAAGTGTCAAAAGGGAACAATGCCAGGCGCGTTCATGCTGCAGCGTTTGTTGTTCTGTCCTTTCTTAGTTTGATTCGCATATCCGGATATCAGAGTTTCCTACTCTTCGACTTTGAACATCACACTGAGCAGACTTCAAGCAAGGCTTGGCTTGGCTTGTGGTTTGGCCGTGGTGGCTGGCCAGTAGATACTTAACTGGTTAAATCTGAAAAATGGTCATTATCTGTAGCCAAAACACATGGCTTTAGCGATTGGCAATTGTAATTACTGCACTTTTACACTGTTGAAATTTCTAGCCACTGACAGTGCAACCTTTCAGTGTTGGCAACCTAACAAACATAATGTAAGTAAAGAAATAAAGCCCCTGAAACTTTGCAAAGTTGTGAAATATGTGGTTTGCATGCCCGCTGTCTTTTCTCTGACGATAGAGTTTCCTAAAATTAACTAGAAAGAACTCTGGCGCTGCGATTGTTCTGCAACCATGGGAATAATGGGTAGTACATGGATTTTCCTAGTCTTCGTGCTTGCGGGCTTTAAACACACTTGTGGCTTTATTCATTGCAGTGTCTTAGCTTTGTTTCGAATAAAAGAACAAACTGTCTGGACTTCATCATCATCATCATCATCAGCCCGACTACGTCCACTGCAGGACAAAGGCCTCTCCCATGTTCCGCCAGTTAACTTGGTCCTAAGCTTGCTGCTGCCAATTTATACCCACAAAGTTCTTAATCTCTTCTGCCCACCTAACCTTCTGTCTCCCCCTAACTCACTTACCTTCGCTGCGAATCCAGTTAGCTACCCTTAATGGCCAGCGGTTATCCTGTCTACGCGCTACATGCCCGGCCCATGTCCATTTCCTCTTCTTGATTTCAACTATGATGATATCCATAACTCTCGTTTGTTCCCTAATCCACTCTGCTTTCTTCTCGTCTCTTAAGGTTACACCTACCATTTTTTTTTCCATTGCTCGCTGCATCGTCCCCAATTTAAGCTGAATCCTCTTTGTAAGTCTCCAGGTTTCTGCTCCGTAGCTAAGTACCGGCAAGATACAGCTGTTACCGTATAAACGCGTGTAAGGGCCGCACTTTTTTTTCAGGAAGTGAGGGCTAATTTTCAGGTTGCGGCCCATACACGGAACTTTTTTTTTTTGGTGAACTAAAAACAACGTACCAGTTAGTGAACGAATAGCGTTTATTGCAGTATGCCGCGTGTGCGCTTAATCGTCGTCACTCGCCGAGTCCTCTAACTCGGAGTCCGAGATGGTGTGTTGCGGAGCACCATCATTCCACAGTCATCTTCGGTGCCGTCTAGGCTGTTGGATATCCCAGTGACCTTAAAACTTCGGGACACAATGTCCGTCGACACCGAGCTCCACGCCGACAATACCCGACCGAGAACAGTAGCAAGTGGTGCCCTCTTCAGCCGTCCGGTCGGTGTGTGCTCATGGTTGCCGGTTGCCATCCATTCCGTGTAGAGTCTTCGGAATTCAACTTTTAACGGTCGATTCACGCTCACATCCAATGGTTTCAACATTCTTGTGAGGCTGCCTGGAATCACGGCCATGTCTGTGCCGACACGGCGCAGCTGCTCCTTCACCTTATCGGTAAGGTGGCCGCGGAAACTATCCAACACTAAAAGTGAATCTTTGGCCAACAAAGCTCCCGGTCTGTTCTGCCAAACACTTTTCACCCAGTCAAGCACCAAATTATCGTTCATCCATTCCTTCTCTTGGGCTCTAACTATGATGCCCTTGGGGAAAACTTCGCTGGGAATTCTTTTCCTTTTCAAAAGAACGTACGGGGGTAGCTTCCGCCTGTCCGCGGTCATACAAAGCATCAACGGTGCAGCGTTGGCGCTCAGCGCTGGTGGTCCGCACGGCGACACTCTTCTTGCCTTTTACTTCGACTGTGTAGTTCTCGGCAGAGTCAAACCACACAGGAGTTTGATCAGCGTTCGCTATTTGCCACAACAGATAATTGTGCTGATAGCGCAGGCCGATGACATGCTTGTGAAAACTAAGCACCTTGTCGTTATAGTCTTCTGGCAGCCGCTGGCACAGCGTGGTCCTTCGCCAAAAGGAGAGTCCCTTCCTTTTCAGAAACCTTCGCACCCAGCCAGCAGAAGCCTTGAAATCCCCGGCCGGTATATTTTTCGCACGTGCCAAGGCTAGTGCCTTCATGCGCGGCATGTCCGTAATGAGTGCAAAACTATCGTTCCGTACTACAGTCACATAGCGGAGCAACTCCTCTTCCAAATGAAGATACTTGCACTGTTTTCCTCGGAAAGCGTGCTTTTTGATTTAGTGTTCAGCAAGGCTTTCTTCTGAGCGCACCAACGTCGAACACACTTCTCGTCAACGTCGAATTTCCTGCCGGCGGCCGGTTTCCCGTGCGCGCGAGCAAACTCGATCACCTTCAACTTATAGCCAGCTATATTCAGCAGCTTGCCCATCGTGCCAAAACGTAAACGTCCCGCAGAAAACTAGCTAGAGTCCCAGAGTCATTCAACGGTGCGTAAAACTCGAGCACATGGCAGGCTGAACAGCACAATAACTGAACAACGCACAAATACCAAAGTTGGTGATGCTAATGCCGATATGGGTAGCGAGTTTGTATAGAAGTGTCAGAAGTTAAAGGTAAAATCCCGCTTTAACCTTTAGTTGGCGGGTGTATGAACACTACTGAAAAAACTTAAAATTTTTAGCCAACTTCATGGACGTATTAGCAAGAAGAAAACCAACAAATTATTCTAATGATGTACTATATGGTGATGATGAGAATTGCGTTCTCTAACGCCATCTACTGACAACGCCTAGTAGCTCACACACGCGCGCGCATTTTGAATATGCATGGGTCAAGGTAAGTGCGGATGCGGCCCTTACACACAACTTTTTTTTTTTAATATGTGCTTCTTAAAAACGGGAAGCGGCCCTTACACGCGTGTATACGCTATATACCTTCCTCTTGAGGGATAGTGGCACTCTACCTGTCATAATTTGATAGTGCTAGCCAAATGTGCTCCACCCCATTCTTATTCTTCTAGTTACTTCAATCTCGTGGTTTGGCTCCGCGGTTATTACCTACCCTAAGTGGACATAGGTACTCTTTTACAACTTGAAGTGCACTATTACATATCTCTAAGTGCTGCTCTCTTCCGAGGTTGTTGTACATTACTTTCGTTTTCTGCAGATTAATTTTAAGACCCACCTTTCTGCTCTCCTTGTCTAACTCCGTAATCATTAGTTACAATTCGTCCCCTGAGTTACTCAGCAATGCAATGTCATCGGCGAAGCGCTGGTTACTAAGGTTCTCTCCATTAACTCTTATCCCTAAACTGTTCCCATTCCAGGCCTCTGAAAACCTCCTGTAAGCACGCGGTAAATAGCATTGGGGAGATTGTGTCCCCCTGCCTTATACCCTTCTTGATTGGTATTCTGTTGCTTTCTTTATGAAGCACTATGATAGCAGTTGATCCCCTGTAAATTTCTTCCAGGATGTTTATATATGCTTCATCGACGCCCTGATTTCGCAGCGTTTGTAGGACTGCTGATATTTCTACTGAATCAAACGCCTTCTCGTAATCAATAAAGGCTATGTATAGTTGTTGGCATTATTCTGAGCATTTCTTTATTGAATGATAGTATGAATGTGGTCGATTGTTGAGTAGCATGTTTGAAATCCTGCTTGTTCCTTTAGTTGATTGAATTCTAATGTTTTCTTAACTCTGTTTGCAATTACCTTTTTAAATAGCTTGTATACTACGGAGAGCAAGCTGATCGGCTTGTAATTCTTCATTTCCTTGTCATCTCCTTTCTTATGTATTAAGATGATGTTAGCATTCTTCCAAGACTCTGGTACTCTTCCCATCAGGAGACACCTCGTAAACAGAGTGGCTAGTTTTTCTAACACAATCTGTCCTCCATCTTTCAGCAAATCTGATGTTACCTGATCCTCACCAGCAGCTTTGCCTCTTTGCATGCTCTCCAAGGTTTTCCTGACTTCTATCATTACTGGTGGGGTGTCATCTGGGTTACTGCTAGTTGTTATAATATTAAGGTCGTGGTTGTCCCAGCTACTGTACAGATCTCCTATACTATCCATATTGGTAGTTATTAACTATCCTATTCATATTGCTAGTCCTATCCATATTGGTAAATAACTATCCTATCCATATTGGTAGTTATTTTGCCTTCTTTGTCTCTTAGTGC